TGTGAAGGTGTGTGAAGGTGTGTGAAGGTGTGTGTGTGTGTGTGTGTGTGTGTGTGTGTGCGCGCGCGTGCGTGCGTGTGTGTGTGCAGCGACCGGTTTACGGTTTAAGCGGCGGCGGCCCATTACGCTCGGCTCGTAAAGTTACTGCGAAGCAGACAAATACGCAATTTATATTAATACTGTGATCGCGTGACACCTGCATGGTTACCGCGCGGATACGTGCGTTTGTCAAGCGAGAAACACATGATATCAGAAGCTTTACATGGCCGTCGCGATGCGCGTTTGCGCGCGCTGTGCGTGCGATATAGACCGGAAGTGTCTAAAAGTGCGAGCTGAGCCGAACCTTCGCAGTGTTGCTCAAGGGGTCGTTGTCGTAACAGGTACTACAGATATGTACCCCCCGAGGTACATATATGTATACACAAAGTGTACCAGACTTGTACTACAGAAGTGTACCCTAACCCTAACCCTAACTCTAACCCTAACCCTAACCCTAAACATACCTCATATAAAAATATAAACATAATACTAAACAACCTAAAACTACCTCGGGTACATATCTGTAGTACCTGTTACGACAACGACCCTTCGTGTCGCAGTGTTCTATCGTCACTGGTGATCAGTGAGAAGGGTTAAACATGCATTCACAGCGGCTGTAGGCAGCTTACGTTATACCGCAAATCTTTCGGAACGTGAAGAACCGTGGCTTGTGAATATTACATGAATTGAACGGAGATGATATGCAGACTCGTAAAAGGGGAGAGTATGCATAAAAAATAAAAAGCCCTGTGGACACACGACGGTATGGGGATCGTGTATGTATGCGTCATAGAACAGGGCTGCGCGCTTAAGATTGGAACGTGAGAGCGTCTATACCACATAGAACAGGCCTGCAGACCTGACATACGAAACATAAGAGGACGTACAGACAAGCAATAACGACTTGTCAATTTATGATACATTAATTGCGCACTCATTCTGTTCGGGCTGAGATGCATTCGATAAAAAACGTTGACCAATTTCCGTTTGAATTTATGCTCGTGCGCATATCGTGTAAGGTCACGGTTTACTTCGTTATCCGGTTTCCTGTTTTACAACTTCTGTATGTTATGCGTTGCAGGCCTGGAACAGACACTGGTTTGTGCTAAAGGGGCCAACATTGAGCTTCTACAAGGACCAGCAGGCTGAGGAACGTAACGACACAGATGACGTGATCAACTTGTGTGCTGTTGACCGGGTCAGCAAGCTGGACGTTCCAAAAAACTTTGGCTTTCAGATACAGGTAGGAATATTCCATATATAGTGAGAAAGTGTGTGAAAGAGAGTGAGAGAGAGAGAGAGAGATAGCGAGCCAGAGAGAAAGAGAGAGAGAGAGAGGGGGGGAGAATGACAGTAACAGGGGAAGATGGGTGAAGCAAGGAGTTAATGGTGTGATGGAGAGATCGAGTGAATTTAGAAGGAGTGAAGGTTATAAGGATCCGTGAAAGAGCCAAGAAAGCAAAAACTAGAAAGCCAAAAGAATGTCGCAAAAACTATGAATCATAAATATATGTGCGTATAGTGCCAGCATTTATGTTGAATTTGTTAAATGTATAGCTTATCAGTGCGTACCTAAGCATAATACAGCAACGAGGTTTACAGGAAATTACAAAACGAAAGTGTTCCAGCACAATTAATCATGTTTGCATAAACTACTGCATGGCGTCGGGCCTTAATTACTTTCCAAATGCCAAGGTTTGTGGTTTAAACGAAGTAATTCCCAAACGGCTTCAGTGTGTGTGCGTGTGCGTGTGCGTGTGCGTGTGCGTGTGCGTGTGCGTGTGCGTGTGCGTGTGCGTGTGCGTGTGTGTGCAATGGTGGCGTTCACATGTCGAGGCATTGCTATAGCTGCTGTCTCTTACAGACAAAGGAGTCGAAACACATCTTGTCCGCGCTCACGGAAGGTATCCGCAACAACTGGATGCAAGCTCTAGCTGGCAGCATCGAAGCACAGCAGCTGATACGCCAACTGGAGGCGAGCGCCATCAGCGGAAAGCAGAAGCCAGGTCGAAGGTCAGACGCGAAAGCAATCGAGTGCATGGTGGAGCAATCGCCGGAGCGGAATGTGCCACGGGTCAGCGAGAGACGATCGAAACACAAGAGCAGTGCCGCGAAAAAGGATCCGCCCGCCGACTCGCCGGATAAGGACATAAATAAGAACGAGTTGAAGTCGTCGGCGGAGTCGGCCGACATTGAACTGCCCGCGAAGCGAAAAATTGCCAACATATCTAAAGACGTGCCAAGCGAAGTGTCGTCAGAGAGCGCGAAAGCGAGCGCGGAGCCGCCGGCGCCCTCTACAATGAGCCCGCAGTGGAAGCCGTCCTCCGCGCTCACGCAGCCGCCACCTCAGGAGAATCAGTGCAATCAGCCGGCGAGCGTCGTCGACGCAGAGACGCGCACGGCGCCCCCTGGCTGCATCGCCGTGCATCCGGCGGATGCGCCGACGGAGACGGTTAGTTTGTCGATGCCGGCGCGAGCGGTCGACCTGGACATCAGCTCAGACTCTGACCGCGACACGCCGCGCCGCTTCAGCGTCGATCGGCCGGACTCCAACCTTGACCGCGTCGACGGCGTCGCGAAGCACGCCGAGCACAGGTCGCCGACCTCGCAAGCTCGCTCAAGGTCACGCTCAAGGTCAAAGTCGCCGAAGCCGGGCGATCGCAGGGCCAGGCAGCCGTCGAAGGAGGAAGAAAGCGCAGCGTCTGTTCAAGAGGTTTGTCCGGCTCTATGAGAAAACTCGATTTGATAAACTGGTCACACTTATATATTTTTGCATTTCGATTGTCAGGGGTGAATAATGACAAATGCTTGTCATTGTTTACCCCTGCTATTGTCTAGCTTTGTGTAGCTTTATTGCCTAATTAGCGCATTAATAGTATATGGCATTTTGTCTCTTTAGGTGGAGTCATGTTCATCAAGCATCACACAACATGTTTAGTAGTGTGATTCGCGTTATGCGTGAACTGTATAAATAACTCGCTGGCTTGTTAGCAACGTGAATGCATAACATTTAACATTCTCGTTGCCCTTTCCCTTTAAAGACAGAACGTTTTCTGTTGTCAGGCTGCACCAATGAAACCTAGCAGCTTGAAGCATAAACATGGCTCTGACTCCAAGACGGCTTTGACCTCTCCTCCTGATCATGACACAATCAGCAGTACGGTCGATACTCAGCTACTGCAGGCAGAGGTTCGACTTACTTCAGTTGTCCTTCTCCGTCGCGATAACGACGGATAACGAACATATCATTCTTATCGATATATTTCTCGTTGGCATCATTTAGTTTTCCTCTTCACAGTTTTGTATCTCCGTACTGCAGGTGGAGTCGTTACAGCAGCGGCTAGAGCAGATGCAGCGGGAGTTGCTGCATAGTCATCAGGAGAATGTTGAGCTGAAAACAGCCCTTGCAGCCCAAGGGTCCAGCAGTGAGTCAGCTCCCAACCAGTCTGACCTGGAGAAGCAGGTACGTACGTGTGCTTGTGCTAACGGCATGAACGTGAAGTCCTTGCAGGGGAGAAGAAAACTGACCCCTTGCAGTCGCATGTGCACATATGCGTGTGCATTAACATTGATAACCTGTATATAATAGGCATACGCTGTTTAACAGAACAAAATGTTTTTGGAATTTAACTGTAAACGAACGTCGCAAGAGTGGTAGCGCCACCCCCACTAACACCAGCTTTAACACAGTGTGCAACAGTGTGTGCTGCATGCCGTCCCCAGTCCGCACTAGTTGAGATGATGCGATGGTTCGAATTTTACGTTGACAGGTGACAGCACTGATGCGCGAGAAGAACAAACTGCATGTGAGCATGAAGGCAGCAGAGCTGCAGCTGGCTGAAGCCAGGAAGGTGACGGACGTTGCGAAAAATCAGACGGACATGCTAAAGAAGAGCCTACATGAAACGAAAGAGACGATCTTCACTCAGCAGGGTGAGATCGGTCGGCTGCGCGCCGGCGTCGACTCGTACTCGGCCCGCGCCGGCGACCTAGAGGGCGCCGTGCATCGCGCCGAGCAGCAGCAGGCGCGCGAGAAAGAGAAGTTTGTCGCGATGAACCAGGAGTGGGACAAGCACTTCAAGGCGCTCGAGCGCGACCTGACGGCGGCGGAAGCGCGCGCGCGCACGCACAAGGCCGTCGCGCGCGACCTCGCCGAGAAGGTCGCCTTCTACGAGGAGCTAGCGCGCGAGGAGGAGGACCACAGCCGGCTGATCGGCGAGCAGTGTCGTATCATCGAGGAGCTGCAGGGTGAGCTGAACGAGCTCGAGCGCACGCGCGGCGCGGACGCGGCACCCGCCGACGACGACGACCGCGCGCTGAAGCAGCTGCAGCTCGACGACGTCCGCGGGAAGCTGGGCGAGGCCGAGCGCAAGCTGGAGGACACGGAGAGGAGACTCGTCGCGGAGGAGCTCAAGGTGGAGGCGGCGGAAAGGAAGCTGGAGGAGGCGGAGGCCGACGTCGCCGTGGCGGAGCAGGAGAAGCGCGAGCAGCTCGACAAGCTGCGAGACCTCGACGAGACGCTGCGCCACCAGGAGGCGCTCATCTCCACGCTGCGCCGCGACGCCGCAGAGGCGAATACGCTCCGGGAGGAGGCGGCCTCTCTCTCGGCGCAGTGCGACAAGATGAGGAGCGCGCTGTCCGCGCGCGACGACAAGGCGAGGTCTCTCCGCGACGAGCTATCCGGTGCGCTCCGCACGAACGCCGAGGTCAGGGAGAGTCTCGGCGAGACGTCGCGTCGCAACGCGCAGCTGTCTCAGGGCGTCGCCGAGGCGTCGCGGCAGGTCAGCGAGCTGAGCGAGCGGCTGGAGGCGGCCGCGCGGGACCGGCGGGAGCTGGCCGGCGACGTCGAGGAGGCGCGCGCGGAGGCGAGCGACGCGCGGGCGGCGGCCGAGCGAGCGGGCAAGGACGGTCAGCGACTGCGGGCGGAGCTGGCCGGCGTGCACGCCGAGAACGACAAGCTGGAGATCTGCGTCGAGGAGCTGCAAGCGGCGTGCGTCGAGCGCGAGCGCGGGCTTGCCGAGGCGCTCGCGGCGCACGTTGAAGCACGCGACGCGCTCGCCGAGACGCGAGCGACCCTCGCCGCCGAGAGCGACCGCCTCCAGGGGGAGTCGGCGTGCGCGCGGCAGCAGGCGGACGGCGCGCTGGCGGAGACGCGGCGCGAACGCGAGGAGGCGGCGGCGGCGAGGGCCGTCGCTGATCGGCTGGAGAGGGATCTCGCGGCGGCGATTGCCGCGCAGGAGGAGCTGAGGCAGGCGAAGGCGCGCCTGCAGGAGGGGCTGAGCCACGTGCAGGAGGACTACCGCGATCAGATCGCCATCATGAACGGACGCGTGCACGAGCTGAGCGGCAAGCTGAGCGCGGCGGAGCGCGCGAGCCGCCTGCACGAGTCGCAGCTGCACTCGGCGCAGGTCGAGCGCATGGCGCGCAGCAGCAAGGAGCAGGCGAAGGTGGCGCGCTCGCGAGACGTCACGAAGCGGATCGAGCGGCTTGAGGCGCGTCTCGGCGCGATCGACGCGAGATCGTCGTGCGCGGAGCGTCCTCTGGTGTCGGACGATGCGACGAGCAACCTCGCCGTTCCCGACCAGCGGAAGAGCGGGTACGCGATCGTCACGGGCAAGCTGAAGAGTCTAGAGGATAGCGTCGCGCGAGCCGAGCGGGCGCTGGACGTGGTCACCGCGACCAACGACGACGACGAGGGGTCGAAGAGCGGGCAGTGGACGCGGACAGGGGACGGCAAGGGGGCGCTGAACGCGATCGCCGCCTCGCAGAGCGCGCTGAACGCGATCGTCGCCGCCGACGACGACGACGGGTCGCCGTCGGATGCGCGGCGGCGGCCGCGCACGGCCGAGAGCGTGATCCGTCACGCGCAGGTGGCGCTGGAGAACCTCATCCAGGAGCTGGACGTCGGCGACGCGGCGGTGTCGTCGCCGGCGGCGCTGCGCGAGAGCCTTATCCACGTGCAGAAGCTGCTCGGAACCGAGTGCGGCGGCGCCAGCAGCTTCGAGCTCGGCCTCGTCGAACGCCTCCTGGCGGCATGGTCCGGCGCTCGCGGAGGCGCGGAAGAGGGCGCCACCGGTGGCGAAAGCCGCGCCGCGACGATGGCGCTGTTCGCGCGCAAGCTCGCGTTCGAGACGGTGCTGCTCGGCGAGATGGCGCACGCGCTGGCGGCGCGCGGCGCGGGCGGCGGCGCCGCGGCGACCAGCCTCGAGGACACGGCGACGGCGGCCATCTTCCCCGCGCTCGTCGAGCGAATCCAGCTGCAGGGCGAGGTGTGCGACATCTACGATGAGCTGTCGACGCTCGTCGCCATCGACGTCAAGAGCCTCCACCAGGGGGCGCCGTCGGTGGCGCAGCAGCCGGCGCTGTCGCTGCTCGCCGGCCGCGCGCTGGCGTCGGCCAACGTCGACGCAAACCTCGACAAGCTTCACGACGCGCTGCAGGAGGGCGGCTTCGCGATCACGACAAAGGCCGTCATGCAGGCCGAGCTGCTGCTGGGACTGCGGCACATGAAGCGCGCGGGTTGCTCCCGGGAGGGGGCGCCGGCGGAGGCGGCGGCGGCGGCGCACGAGCCCGCGGGCGAGCACGACGGCCTCGAGCTGATCTACGACGCCGTGCAGCTCGCCGAGACGCAGAAGCTCGCCGACGAAATCATCGACAAGCAGCTGGGGAGCCACCTGGTGGCGAGACGCGGCGACGGCGGCGGCGGCGGCGTCGACGCGGGCGAGCGGGAGGCGCGGCGCGCGGAGGACCTGGCGGTGAGCGCGCGACTGCGGCACGAGATCCTTACGCGCGAGCCGGTCATACGCAAGTACGGCGAGCTCGAGGACCGCGCCGTGCGCATCGAGGCCGCGAACGCCGTCCTCAAGGACTACCTCAGCGGGCTGAGCGAGTTTGCCGGCGACATCGTGCGCGAGGGCCTCCACCGCGCCGAGCTCACGTACGTGCGGCAGCGGCTGCGCCAGCAGGCGGCGTCGGCGGCGCCGTCCGCCGCCGGCACGATCCAGTCGCTGACAATGCAGAGCTCGCAGAACATCGCCGGCGTGAGGGGGCGCTACGAGCAGCTGCTGGAGGACGAGCGCGCGGAGTTTGTGGCGACGCTCGCGAAGATGCAACGCCGCGTCGCCGAGCTCGAACAGCAGGCGGCCGAGCCTCGGCGACAAGTGGACAGCGCCGCGGCCGCCGAGGACGACCCCCAGGGGGCGCCGCCGGATGCCGACGTGTGCGGGTGTTGCCGGGAGAGGCGCGCGCGGGCGGAGTTGGCGGAGAACCCGCTGCACGCGGAACGGGAGGCCGCCGACGACGACGACGGGTGTGTGGCGCAGGTGCAGGCGCGGCTGGCGGCTCGGCGGGAGAGGCACGACGCGGCGACTCGCGCGCTGACCCTTGACCTGCAGGAGACGCGCGAGAAGCTGCGACTCGCCGGTCTCGAGGTCGCCAAGGAGACGGAGTCGGTCGCCGAGCTCACGGAGCACATCTACAGACAGGAGGAGGAGTTGGCAGAGCTGAGGGCGGCTGCCGCCGCTGCTGCGTGGCGACGCCAGGAGGCGGAGGAGGAAGGAGACGCGACGCGGCAGGTACAGCCAACGCTCTCGCGTCCTCACCGGCGTATGCTGGGCTAACGGTGGTTTCGCGCTGGATGGTGGAATCTCTGGATTGCCACGTCTCTTGCACCTGTCGGATTCTGTTTCGGTTTCATTTCGGCACTGGTGTTCTCCTTTGATCACCAGTGTCCTTCTGTTCTCTACTGTAGAGTAGTGAAGTTTCCGTACATGCAACACGTTGTCAGGTGCATGCTATTCCTTTCAGACTGTCATTCGGGGTATGCTTTCCTTTCTTTTAACCCTGCATGCTGGTTTCCATTGCACAAGTGTTTACATACTACACTTTCTTTGCAGAGATATTTTTTATTTAATTTGCACTGACATTGGCATTCTTGGAAGTGGAATTTAACACTTAGATTCTACTAAAGTGATAATTTCTGTTTTCAGGTTTAACATGTCTTATATAGCCTATGAAAATGTCACATTAGGTTGTCGACCTGTTATCACTTTATCTTTACATTACTTAATGGAAAGAGCTTGTCCTTTTCATAATGAAAGTATCATTTCAGTGTATTCAGCCAAGCATGACTTAAAATGTCAGCGCTATTTCTATTGTGAGCAGTTTGTCGCTGTACGTGAATGCACGTACGTAACTGCTTGCCCATTGCACAACAGGTGCAACACAGTGATTCGGAGGCTGATGAAGACACATACAGGTCGTTGACGCAACAAGTGCGGGAGCTGGAACTCTACATCATCGATCTGAAGGTGAGACTGACTTAAAGTTCGTCGCGATACCTACGTACAGGGAAAAAATTACTTTTTTTTTCACGGGAGCTCTTGTTCAAGTCTGTGGGAAAAATAGCTCTCGTCAAAATTTTTTACGGGAGCTATTTTGAGCCTCACGGGAGCGATTTTGGAGGTTTGAAGAGCGAATCGCTCATCGCTCCCGTGTATTTTTTACCCTGCCTACGTAGATCATTAACGAAGTCAATTTCATCGGAAGCCGAGTTCAGTCCACGTCACGCTTTTCGAGAACTGCTCTGCATGCACCTGCTCCTGCTGAATATTATTATTCGCGGTGTTTACGTAGCATTTGTGTACACATCTGCGGATTTCTTGCATATTTTTCGTGCAGAAAGCGCACGTGCGTGAGTTGGCAGAGGAGAGGTGCGACAATGACCGCAGGCTTACGGAGCTGGAGACCCCTCCTGTCAGTGATGAGGCCATTAAGCACAGATTCCAGGCACAGACAGAGCAGCTAAAGGTACACGGATACCTCACCCTTTCTGTCAGATCGCGATTTCTTTTTTTGTTCATGTTTAGACCTGATTGTATTGTATAGCTCTTATGGTAGTATGTTATAGTCAGGCTACAGACAGTGGCCCTTTCGTGTATGCTCGTTCACGCTCGTATGTTTCGACGTGTTTTATTTAACAAGTCTATCGTATGTGGTATTGGAAGGTATGGTTTTCATTTCTCCTCTCGGTTTCATTTGTGGAGCATGAAACCTCCATAACTGCACGACTGGTTTACATAACTGGCCTTTTCCAGCACAGTTACTCGCCGTTACGTGAATGTGGTTGTTTGCCTCGTGCCGGTGGTGTTCCATTTGGGCACGACAAAACCGCACCAGTTATCCTCTCCTCTAAACGTATCAGGCAAGGCGGAATGTGGTTTTGCCGTGTGCAGGAGATATGTAAAAGATACTTAGCGTATCTAAACCAACTCTCTCTACTTGTTTTCCCCGTGTCTCGAATAACCGCACGCTCGCATTAACCTATGCTGCAGGAGATGTGTGAGCGCGGATCGCTGGCACTGCAGATGTCCCACCGACAGATCATCATTGAGCTTCGCGACAGACACCGCAAAGACATGGAGGAGCGGAAGATGGAGCAGGAGAACCTTCTGGCGGAAGAGACGGCTGCGACAAGAGCGGGTGAGCTCAGAAATGCTCATCTTGCATCTGCCCGAGTATTAGAATCGAGCAGTTGACTCTAGAGTCTCCTACATCGGTAGTGTCAAGTGTGCCCGACTAGATGTTCCTAAAGGTTTGCTTTCAAAGGTCTTTTCCATTGAGTTTGCTTCTGTAGCTTTTACTTGTTGGTACTGATCGGCTATTTCTTATTTGCAGCACTCGATATCATCAAAAAAGACCACCAGATGGAGCTGGAGAAAGAGGTGGAGAAAATCAGAACGGAATACGAGAATGACCTCAAAGCAGTTGCGAGCAAAGAGCAAGAGTATGTACAGGATAATGAAACACCCAGCCTGTTATTTCTCAAGCTTGGAATAGGATATGTTGCCAGCAATGAAGAAGACCCAACCCAATCCAGACCAATCCCCCTACCCAAATCTGGTTCCCCTGGTTGCAAGCCTATCTTATCATAGTTACATGCTGCTCTGGTTTAACCCAGATTTTATGGTTCCCTGATAGAACCCATTACTTTAGCAGCCAACACTGGTCCTCGGTGTAGCTTTCCGTACCGAATCCTTATATGAAGTGACTGAAGTCCCGATCCCAGGCCCAACACAGTATCGTTTCTGTTTCAGTGAGAAGCTAGAGATGCTCAAGCATGAGGTCAGTGTGTTGTCCGAGCAATACTCCCTAAATCTGCTGGAAAATGCCACTCAGGCCGAAGCTTTGGAGAAGCAGAAGAAGCTGCTTCGAGGTTGCACGCAGGTACAGTGTAGACATCACCAAGAATACATTCAATTCAAATTTACTACGTCACAAATTTTCTATGGTAAAATTTGTAAAAAAAAAATTGCCATTTTTTACATTAAAAGTAAGAACTAACGGGACTAAACGTATCGTCAAATTTTTACCTGATAAGATTGTTTCTCAACTAGTTAAAAATCCAAAAAACCTGGACGATTTGATATTAATGTTCCCAACATTAATTGCTTGCTATGGGCTATGTATGAGTCACGAGTGTTTGTTCACATCGAACAATATAGTAAAACAGGAAGTATAATGCAGCAATTTAACCATAAAAAGTGAACAGAATTACTTATATTTTGTGAAAAAGTGTAAATGTTTTTTTAATTTTTATTATTTTTGGTGATGTAATCACTTTAATTGCTATTATGCCATCACTTGGTGGATTTGAAATTTGCCCACAACGGTATAGACCATGTTTGAAGAATGTAAAACGTCCGACTTTTCGTTACCATATTACTTGCTTTCCTGTATTTTGCCCATCTCGTGATTACTGCGTAGATGGCTGTTCAGCTTTACTCTGTCAGTCTGACCATAAATGCAAGGCAGTGAATCAATCCCACCCTTAACTTTCAGGACATCGTGGAACTTCGTGCAAAAAACAAAGAGCTGCTTGCCAGGTTAGGTGCAGAGGCATCCAGCACACGTAACGATGATAGCATTAGCCAGAAGGAGGCAAAAGATGAAGAATTGTACAGCCTGAAGGTAGCTATACCCGAGTTAGAAGAGAACATCTGTCAATATGAAGTGAAAATTACGGACTATTTACGAACTTTTGACAATAATTACAGAAAACTAAGAACATATGGAAAGAAATGCAAACAATTACAGAAAATCAGTAGCAAAATTTGCTGACAAGTACGGGCACTTCTTTAATAGTCCTTTAAGCATGCACAAAACATGAATGCTCGTGCAATTTTTTCTGAGCACGGCTAGAGTTTTGCAAGACTTTATAATTGCGTGTGCATGCATGTTTGTGCATGTTCATGCATGTGTGAGCATGTGCGTGCGTGCTCGTGCATGCGTGCGTGCGTGTGTGCATGTGTGTGCACTCGTGCACACGTACACTTGCACATGCACACACACGTGTGTTTATATGTGTGTGCGTGGGCATGTGCTCGTGAGTATGCGTGCGCGTGGTGTGCGTGCATGTGTGCATGTGTGTGCACTCGTACACTTGCACATGCACACACACACATCTGTTTATATGTGTGTGTGCGTGTGCGTGTGCGCGTGAGTATGCGTGCGCGTGGTGTGCGTGCATGTGTGTGTGTGTGTGCATGTGTGTGTGTATATAACTGTAATAAAATTGACTTTAGTTTATGAGCATGTTCGTTGTTTTTGCTATTGAAAGTATACAGGAGACTTGCATAATTATATGCACAGCATACGCACGTACTGCTGTGGATGCTGTGCTAACAGCCAGCCATCCCTTCTGTCAAATGCACTCACTGGAACAATCGGCACCAGCTTGCTGATGGAACGGGCATCTTAGATCTATAAAACGTTTAACGAAATTCTCCTTTCATCAAGCAAGGATCAATTTTGCTGTAGACTTTCCCTAGTTGTCTGTAGTTGTTCGTATTTGTTTGTAGTTGTGCGAAGTTGTTTGTAGTTATTCCTCAATCTTCATAAATAGTCTGTAATTTTCACTTCATAATGTATGATATTAGTACAGTTTATGTAGTTACAGTTGTGTGTCTGATTAGGGCTGTGGTCACACTGAGCAATGCCATGCAAAGTTGACCTTTGTTTCATGGCAATTAAGTTAATGACATTTCTCACAATTTCTCAAAAAGTGCTTCCCTCGCCTACTATAGGTGAAGTTGCGTGTTAAGGAGGCGGAGCTTGCCGATATGCGAGATGAGATGACGAAGCTCAAAGAGAAAATTAGTGAAGATCAGAAGGTCAGTCATGGCGACAATACATGTATGGGCCCTTCTAGCCAGATACTCAGTTCTGAGCAAATACCCCCATGTAGGCAGATGCACAGTCTGCAATACATTTATGTAACATTTAAATACTAACTTAGCAATCCACCTAGTCCTGGATAGATGTAACGGTCCTGAAGGCAGATACTCAAGTGTACAATATATTTATAGGCACCCAGCGAGTCATTCTGCGATTATCTAAAGGTAGCCACATGCAGGCAGATAACCAGTCCTGCATACGTTCAATGTTTCCCAGTATAGATGAGGTTGGGATGTATTGGAAGTTTATCTTTGAAGATTAAAGATTTTATAAGCAGCCTCCTTGTGCCAGCCAGATATCCCATCATGGATATCTTGATATTAAAGCAATAATGAAGGCAGATAATCATGTTTTTAATTGTATATAAACACCAGTTTTGGCACTTACCTGGAGCAAACATGAATGGAAGTTATGTGTATATGAGTAGAGAGAACCTCTATTACACCAATGACTGCAACCTGTTTTAGATGGTCGGGCAACGCGGAATACGCAAACCGATTGTCTATCAAATGTACTTCTGCCTTTGTTAGAACACAGAGAAGATCATGAAGCAGTACAGCAAGTTGAAAGGAGAGCTGGGGCTGGGAAGAGCAGAGAGGTTGGAACAGTCGGATTCCCTTCATAAAAGCACACAGGAGCTGGATCGCTATCGTACCCATCAGTCTCGCAGCCGGGAGCGAAGGCGAATCGATAGCGATGGTGGGTGCTGACCCCTGCTGGGATATTCGTGCAATTAAGATAGGTAAATATTTTCCATGTGTGTTTGTCGTTTCATACGTTAACATCGTTATTTTTTCTTTCGATTGAGTAGATGACCGTGACAACATCCCAACCAATGAGAAGGGCACCCCAGCCTTTTCTGAGCCTAAATCAAAGCCTCAGGTGACCTTACGAAAAAAGTGTGAGTACCTAGCAGGCTGGCTCGTCTGGCAGCACTGGACAATCCTTGTATTCATATCAGCGCTTCAAAAATCCCAGTTTAACATTGAAAATGCAATATCATTCATGCACTGGTCATCTGCTCGATCACATTGCAATCGACTGAACTGCACCTTGGCATCTCTTGTTTGTTCAGTGTCTAGGCGGTCTCAGAGCAGCCCCGGTTACTACAGATACACGGTGGATCTCGGGCCAGATGGCTGGTTCAGTCTGCAGACACCAGCCGGAATCGTGCAAGACAGGCGACGCTACTTTGAAGAGCCACGATGATCACCGACCAGTACACACATAAACAGGAAGAAGTCATAGGCTCAGCATGTTACGTACAGAACTAAGGCCCGTTGTTAGACACATCACGAACGGATGAGATAAAGTGCCCTAACTTCTTCACAACACTTAATTTGAAAAGTCATGTCATTATAGACTTATATCATAGACATTAATGATGTTTCTGACAACAGGCCTCTAAATAACTTCAGTTTGCATGCTGGTGGCACCATGTAGGATACTTGTGTGTTACTAATGTAAGGGGTTTACATGAAATATGTCCTTCCCTTTAATATGCTTTCTTATATTGATTTACAGTTTATAAACAGTGGATTATTGCAATACTTGCAATTACTCTAAAATGAATTTGATAACAACTTCATTTACAAACATTTCTCTATGTATAACCATGATAGATCATGCCACTCAGGACGTTTGGCCAGATATCAGCAAAGACACAATCGTGAAAGAAAACATTATTTTAGAATTTGAGGATATATTATACTTATAGCATAAAAAATAGTATACACCTGCCATATTTCTGTCATCAGACATTTACTTTTATATTAGACAGTGAAGATGTTCAAATCAGTCGCCACCATGCGACTCTTGCTGCCTCCCTGATAAAGTTGAACTTTTGCATTTTTATTTTGCTAGTTTCAGACCTGGAGCTAATTACCAAAGTGTAATGATACCTAAACCTAGCGTATTTGTTTGTACGACTTTCTGTTTCTCGAATAAATACTTGCATGGTCATACTGAAACTACTAGAGGATACAAGATATTGCAATTCTTCTTATATTCATGAATGAGAAATACAGTTGGTATGTTACGTACAGTTATTGAAAACTGAATCTGTACAACTTTGCCAAAGCAGTACAAGTAGTGGTGCCACCAAAGTTAAAAACAAATGATCCAGTTTTAAAACATTTTTGGAAATGTTTTTTTGTCAATGCTGAACCACACAATTTTTATTTAGCTTAATATACACCTATTTTAACTGAAGGTATCCGTTAAACCTTCAAGTAATGTTACCCGTTAATATGCAAGTGTTTGTCGCGGGTTACTGAAACCTTATTGGTGTCACGTACTTGAAATCGCTTCTTGAATGAACTTGAAAAAAAAAATTATTTATACGCGTGGGCATTATTGTGGCAAATCAGATCGAGTGTAAGGGAGTTTAGTCCATGCTTGTACAATCATGATACAGTCGATCGACTCGATTCTGTGCATTTCCTGTCAAAGTGAGATCATTTCAGGTCTCCATATCAACAGGCTGGATGCAGATCTGTCTCTTGTCCTAGTGCCTAATGCCGTTATACAGGCAAGCTGTTTTACTGCTGTTACTTCAAAATAAATGTTAATCATTAATTATATTTATAATATAGTAGTGCATCGATATTTCGCATAATATACAGTTATGTAAAATACATGTTATTCATGTTATTGTGGCAAAATTGGCGAAGGTGTTGTAATATTAACTATTGGTATTTTTGTAATATTCAATTAATACTATATATGCATTTGAAAGGGGTTATTATGTATTCATTGTATACATGTTATTGTTTGTAGTTATTAAGTGTACAGTCAGCTTTAACTGAACAATATCCCTGCTTGCTTCTGAAAGAAATATATCAAAGCAAGGTTTAGATACATTCTAGAATATTATCAGCAGTGGTACTGAATGTACCCTGATTGCGCAATGTTTTGAGAGGTAGTGTGGAATATAGTATCATGTGCAGCCTCCTACTGTGGCAATGCTCAATCCAAGTAGTTCCAGTCCTCTAGCAAGCAGGCACCAGTGTCACTTTTAGTAGTGTAAAGCTTCAGTGTGCAACTGGTTTATTGTCGACCAGTGTCTGTATAACTAAACCTATTTTAGTTTTTTTTTACTCTTCTGTATAGAATACAGTCGTGTACATTCATGGAGCAATAGACTGGTTTGTTATTTATCATTTGGCATTTTACTCTTGTTGTTATTTTTCTCACTGAAGTGACTATGAAAATTGTAAAATTACTTCATAGGAACATGGTCCTAATAAAACGATCAAACTTCTCTATGATTATTGACATGTACTCAATGTTACTACTTAATGTTAATGAGACAGTTCAGAATGAATACAAATTTTTCATTACCCAGAACCAATATAGTGTTTTTGGACATGCTTCTTTTATGTGAGGAAGATCTGATGACAAAATATATAACACTACTTGTCAATATCTAATTCACAAATTTAACTTAAAAATTAAAACTTTTTCCTGTATGTGAAGTTTCAATGGAAATTTGCAATCAACAAACGGGAATGTTCGCCGAAAAAGGAAGTACAGCACGCCAATGAGATCTGCCTAACTTAACAATTTCGACCGATTACAGCTACTACAAGCTGATATCGTGTATGACGAACTCTTAAACCCAACCAAGCATGTTATATGCTAACGTTTGGGCTTAAAACAACACAGCTCTACTTCGTGCAACATTTTACGGGCACAAATATTAGAATAAGACATACATGTGTATAGCAGGAGTATACAACCTCTATATGGTGAGCTTAACTTGGAAAGATTAACAATAATCGATGTTCATTTAAAACATGGATTTAGTCGCATACTAGGGCAATCAGTGGGCTGCTGCTGCTGCTGCTCCCCCGTGCATTGCATGCTGCCCTGATACTGCTGCACTGGGTCCCAGCAGGATCTATAAATAAGGGAAAATATATTTCATGAATTCTGAACTTTGCAAATACTAAAAGAAACACATTACATGATCAGATCTACAATTACTGAGCCACTTCACTGATCATGATATCTCTCTCCTACTCTTCTCACACCCAGTCTCCTATTTATATGTGCTAGTAGTCTATCTCACCGCTCATTTCTAACACACCCACCTGTCTCTGTTGAGCCAACTGTGCCTGTTCCATCTGTGATCTTTCCATCTCAAATATCACAGGTGCCATCAGAACCGTAGAGGAAGAAACTGTAAGAAATATGTAAGCATCACGAGCAATATGGCTCCATGTTTGTAATAATTTGCTTTTATACTGGTACCACAGGCTCTGCATATGCAGAATAAATTATACCTATTACAGTCCATAAAAGTGATCACTCTGTCTGAATAATACAGACTGCATACAGTACATGGTTTAGACTTGATAATGACCAATTCCTAGCTAAAATCAAATATCCGTCTAGTCTATAATGACTGCAAGAAGACCGAACCAGATTTCCAGCAACATACCTAGAATCCACATTACTGTTCTGCTGACGCCATACAGGCCAAACAAGCCACCGACAGAATTCGTTACCAGTGACGATACACCACTTCTTAGTGATGGGGGAAACATTTCTGTGAGCCCCACTAATCTTTCCCAGGCACTCTCATCTTCCTATAATCAAGAAGAACAGTGATTATATAACAAGTAATAAACAATTTAGCCTCTACTCACTAATTGATGCATAAATGCCATAATGATGGGGTGATGCTCCATTAGGAGCGTTCCCAACTTTAATGTCCATTAATGTCGTGATATAAAAGAGATATAAAGGGGGGTGGATCGATATCAATTAGATATCAAAGGGGGTTAGATATGAAATAGATATCAAGGGGGGGGGGGGTGCATCGATCTCAATTAGATATCAAGGGGGTTAGATATGAAATGATATCAAGGCGAGGTTATATATAGGGTATATAGAGGGAGCAAGCAACATTGAGACTGGGGTATGTTCGCTTTGTTTCGCTGGACTCGCTCGCTTCGTTGCTCGAGCAAGCGAAATACACAGCGGGGCCATGTTCACTTCGTTCGCTGGACTTCGCTGGACTTCGTTGCTCGAGCAAGCGAAATACGAGCGGGGCCATGTTCGCTTCGTTTCGCTGGCTTCGCTGCTCGGCAAGCAAAATACAGAGCGCGAATGTTCGCTTCGTTTCGCTGGACTTCGCTGGACTTCGTTGCTCGAGTAAGCAACATTGAGACTGGGGTATGTTCGCTTCGTTTCGCTTCGTTTCGCTGGACTTCGTTGCTCG